AGTATTGTTGGTTCTTCACAATATGAAGGCAACCAATGTATTTTGCTAAACTTTGAAAATAATTTCACTATATATTACTTTCCTGGGAGTCAACCAAAGAGCCTCCATCAATGCTTCTCCAGAAACTGATGAGATATAAATCAGAAAGGAAGAGAAAGAGAATGAGAGCGTGAATGGTAGAGTGAGATCTACCATTCTGTGATCAAAATCAATACATTTCAATATTTCACCTTTGTTTTACCTTTTCTGTGGAGTTCCAGCAAGCAATCTTTTCCTCTCCCTTACATGGCTTTATAAAATGTGTAAAATATCAACCAGAGATTATAGTAATGTTATATTCGTGTCACCATTACAATGCAAAGCAATTAAAAAAAAAGGGCCAAAGACTTGCTTTCCAGTACCAGTTCCGCAATTAGTCACGTGTCCTTCATCAAGTCATGCAACTTCACTGGTCTTCAGCTTTCTCTGCTGTTAAAACAGGGGTAGGGCTTCCCTGGTGGCGCAGTGGTTGAGAGTCCACCTGCCGATGCAGGGGACACGGGTTCGTGCCCCGGTCCGGGAAGATCCCACATGCCGCAGAGCGGCTAGGCCCGTGAGCCATGGCCGCTGAGCCTGTGCGTCCGGAGCCTGTGCTCCGCAACGGGAGAGGCCACAGCAGTGAGAGGCCCGCGTACCGCAAAACAAAACAAAACAGGGGTAATCATGCCTGCCTCAGAGCATCCTCGTGAGAATTAAAACAGTAAACTTATCTAAAAAAAAAAAAGCACCTTATGGTTTTCAACATATAATAGGCATTCAAGAAATATCAGCTCCCTGCTACCATCACTGTGCTATCTAAACATCTGAATCATTTATAAATACAAATGGGGGCGGTGAGGGGTGAGCAACGTTGGACCTCAGAAGGCACGCAGGTGCTTAATTTGCTTTCATTCCATAATTACAAGGTCACCAGGTCTTCTGAAAATATATTTGTCTGTTGCCACAAAATGGAGGTCACGGTAATTCTAACTTACGTTTTCTTTGTCTATTAACATCACTACATAATAATTATGCTAGTTCCTTTCCCCTTTTATTTTATATAGCAACCCTTGCCAATTGGATGATAATCACCGTGTCCTGTCATTTGTTTCCTGTTCTTTTATATAGTTTTCTCAGGACCCAAATCCCAAGTTCCAACTCCATCCTCCTTTGAGATGTCACTGACTGCTTCACACGCAGTATCATTTTTATGCTTATGAAAAAAAATTAACCTGTTATACACAAGTTCTTATGACTGGTTAGCTTTGCCCTCTTCAGCCATTGAACATGGAAGGCAGTCTGCAATCCCTACCAGTGATCTGGGCATCTGAAATTTGAACCTGGAATACATGTTATCTAATACATACACCATAATTTATACACTATTTCTGGGAGTTAAATGTGCCCCTATTTCTAAACAACTAACTCACAATGGAGCTTTGGATTCACCCTATTACTAAATCATTTATTTAACAGAATGAGTCAAAAAGACTTCTTGCCTTAATCCATTTTTTATATCCATGCATAGCAAATTTTGACTCTCTTTTTACTTTCATAGTACCTAATACAATGATATACACCAAGCTGATCATCAATAAATAATGTTGACTGATAGATTCTTATTAAAGGACATGACAGACAATACGAAGGTCACATTTCCCTACTCTTTGCATCTAGGTCAGGCCATGTAACTACTTTTGGCCAGTGAAATGTGGGTGGTCATATACCTCACTTTCTGGCCTGACCCCTATAATATCCCACCTGGTCTTCAACCCTCTTTGCTAGTTAGCTGGCCAAATGGAGGGCACTGAAGGACTCTGGAGGCCCTACTGGAAAGTAGAACCACCAGATGAAACAGGCCTGGATCCCTGACTCAACATTGTAGGAGAGAACCCCTGGGAGAGCCATCTGACCTGCTTTGGTCTGTGACATGAGTAAGAAACAAAACTTTTTGTATTATGTCACTGAAACTTGGGAGTTGTTTGTTAGCAACTAATGTTAATTACCCTAATAGCATGAACCACCTTACTCCCTGACAGTGTACACGTCAAAATAAAACACCAAACAGAGCTGTAAAATATTCCTAAAAGAAATTCTGAGAATTCAGGTAAATACAGTCTTTAGATTGCGATTGTCCTAGTCAAGACCGTATCTGTGTGTTACAAGCACCATGTAGTTGCGGTCTTCCTAAATTTTAAATAGGAAAGATATACAAATGTAAAGTCAATAGATAATTTGGGAAATATTTGGCAGATATCAAACCAAACTATTTTATTCATAATAATCCCTAGTTTCTGGTAGTGCCAAAGCTCTTATAACTTTAGTCAAGCCTTTAAGACTGAGCATAGTTTCTTCCATAATGTAGAACGAATACCCCTTCTACCTTTAAGGCTGAGCCGGGAAATTTAATTGTTATGGTTAAGGATGCGTGCGTTGGGAGACAATTCCCTGTTTATTTTTGTGTTTCTTCACATTATGTAAGCAGAGGCTATCTTTTCTGGGATGCTTGTGTAGAGAGCAGTCTTGAAAGATAGAGATAGTACGTCCTTCTGGAGCCGAAGGTAGGTTTGTTTGGTGTCCAGATACCATTTTGGAAAGGTATAGAAGGAGGGGAAATAAGTTTTAAATCTAAGAATCTGAGTCAATCAGAAGAAAATATTTAAACCAGAAGATACTGTAAACTGGCAAATTTAAGGTTTATATCTCACTCCGTTCTCCCCCACTTCTTCTATCAGAAGACATAGGAAACTTTAAGCCTTCGTTTTATTGGCACACTGTACAGCTGGCCCTTGAACACACAGGTCTGAGAGGCACAGGTCCACTTATACGTGGATTTTTTTCAACAGTGAATACTACAGTACTACACAATCCAAGGTTGGTTGAGTCTGCAGATGCAGAACTCGTGGATATGGAGGGTAGACTGTAAGCAGATTTTTGAGCGGGTGAAGGGTCAGTGTCCCAACCCTGGTGTTGTTCAAGGGTCAATTGTATTAGTAAATTTGCAACCATTGGTAAAAATAGGCCTATAGCAATTCCATTTTTAAAAAATCCTAGTTTTCAAATACTAATGTTTGTCAAGGATAACATAGCTACAAAGGACTAGAACCTACATGGGTGGTTTGAAAGTCCTCTGATGCAAGAATATGAATTTTAAATTGACCAGACTATCAACTCCTTGAGAATGGCAACTGAGATTTACTTATCTCTGAACCCTCGCAGTGACAGGCAAAGCAAATAATGAACAAACATTTGAATATAATTTACTATCAGCCTATTACGGATCATATTGGAACCTATAGCTCCACTCTGTGTCTTTAAGTCTTTGGATTTTCAAAACCTTTTTATAATGTGAAAATATCCTCAGGAGGGTCATTTCTTTAGCTCCTATTACAAAATATTTTATCAGGATTAACCTAAGATTGAGAGTAAGAGAAGAGAGCAGAGTTCTGGGAAAGGATAAATAAAACTGGAAGGAAAAAATTTGACAGGTCAGACAAATTACATCACCATCTTGCCTTGGGCCAGCCCTGAAAAAGGGCTTGCAAGAATAATAATTTGGGCTTCCCTGGTGGCGCAGTGGTTGAGAGTCCGCCTGCCGATGCAGGGGACACGGGTTTGTGCCCCAGTCCGGGAAGATCCCACATGCCGCGGAGCGGCTGGGCCTGTGAGCCATGGCCGCTGAGCCTGCGCGTCCAGAGCCTGTGCTCCGCAACAGGAGAGGCCACAACAGTGAGAGGCCCGCGTACCGCAAAAAAAAATAATAATAATTTTACTCCTGAAAGGTATTTTACACTACAACAGCGGAAGTAGTAGTAAACTAGTACGACTGAGAAATAGCAAAAGGAAAACAGTATCTCCCCAATGATTCTGTCCCATTTCAGACATTATCCACTCTTTTGAGTTAAAGTATTTGTGGTTGGTAGAATGATGTACCCACTGGAAAGATGTCCATGTCCTTATCCCTAGAACCTGTGAACATGTTGCCTTAGATGCCAAAAAAGACTTTGTGGCTGTGATTAGGTTAAGGATCTTGACCTGGGAGATTATCCTGGATTATCCAGGGTGGGCCCAATGTAATCATGAGGGACCTTAAATGTGGGAGACACAGGAGTGTCAGCATCAGAGTGATGCACTATGAGAAAGACCGGACGGGCCATTGCTGGCTTTGAAGATGGAAGGGGATGTAGGAGACGCCTAGACACTAGAAAATGCAAGACATCAGATGCTCCCCTAGGGCCTCTGGAAAAGAACACAGTCCTGTCAACACCTGGATTTTAGTCTAGTGAGAACTATTTCAGACTCCTGACCTCCAGAACTGTAAGATAATAGATTTGTGTCATTTTAAGCCACTAAATTTGAGGTAATTTGTTTCAGCAGCTATACTAGGAGACCAATTTAGTGTTCACTGAAGATTTTTTTCTTTTTTAATAAACTTATGTATTTATTTATTTATTTATTTATGGCTGTGTTGGGTCTTTGTTGCTGTGCGTGGGCTTTCTCTAGTTGCGGCGAGCAGGGGCTACTCTTGGTTGCAGTGCACAGTCTTCTTATTGCGGTGGCTTCTCTTGTTGTGGAGCACAGGCTCTAGGTGTGTGGGCTTCAGTAGTTGTGGCACACAGGCTTCAGTAGTTGTAGCACGCAGGCTCAGTAGCTGTGGCTCACAGGCTCTAGAGCGCAGTCTCAGTAGTTGTGGCACACGGGCTTAGTTGCTCCGCGGTATCTTCCCAGGCCAGGGATCGAACCGGTGTCCCCCGCACTGGCAGGCGGATTCTTAACCACTGTGCCACCAGGGAAGCCCCTGAAGATTTCTTGTAAAATGTTAAGGTAGGGGCTTCCCTGGTGGCACAGTGCTTGAGAGTCCGCCTGCCGATGCAGGGCAAGCGGGCTCGTGTCCCGGTCCGGGAGCATCCCGCATGCCGTGGAGCGGCTGGGCCCATGAGCCATGGCCGCTAAGCCTGCGCGTCCGGAGCCTGTGCTCCGCAGCGGGAGAGGCCACAACAGAGGCCCACGTACTGCAAAAAAAAAAAAAAGTTAAGGTAATCCTGGGGAAGGAAAGCAAGGCTGACATAAGAATCAAACTATGATTCAGCCAGTATATCCGTTTAATCCCTTGAGAAGAGGTGTGTGAAACAGGTCTTCAGACAGGCATTATCAGGAAGCACTCCATCATGGCATCTCTCCAGAAGACACATCTGACTAAGCAGCCACAGTGCATTTTCCCACGGGAGACAAGAGGCTAGACAAGGGCACCTCGTGACAGAGGCACTGAAATGGAGAAGGATCCTAGGGGCTTTTTATGTTCCCCTTTTCCTGAGATTTTTTAAGTGTGAATGGTGAAAAAGGATCACAGCAGTAAATATTCAGGCTGGTGCGACAATGAAAAAAATCAGTCATCTCAAAACAACTTTATCTCCAGGGTGACTTCAGTAATTTAGGAAATAATGGCCTGTCTAGATATGAATATGTTTTTCTTGACTTTTGGAAAATACATGCAAACTTACATTTCACAAGGTAAAAAGAGGCAGGTGACAACTAATTATTTATTGACTAAATATTCTATAAATATTACATTTGAAGCTAAGCTACAAACAGCCAGAAAATAATGATGCATCAATTTTTTCTTTCTATTCATTGAGCATTTTTCAATTAAAATTAATGCTAAGAAAGAAACCAAATTAACAATGGTTGTCTTTAGGTGGTTGGTCTAGGGAGTTATATGATTTTTCTTTCTACTTTTTTATATTTTTCCAATTTTACATAATGAATATGTATTAAATTTGACAAACTATCAGGCCTTAAAAAATTAGTGAGGAAAGGTTTGTTTTTTTTTTAATGTAGTGAATGTCAGTAGTTGAAAAAATAAAGTCACCTCTTAATCATCAGGAGGCAACTTTGCATCAGTGAACTGTAAAAGTTCCCTGTAGTCATTATAATCCTTAAAATATGCTGTGAAAAGGGAGACCAAGTAGCCTACCTTTCTTTAGGAGACAGTCATTCTGCTCTGTCTTCTGAGAACTTTGCCCCATCTTTCCTAATGACAGAGAAATCATAAATTATTTAAATCTACAAGTAATCTACCAACATGAAAACATAATATTATTGAATTTATATTGACAAAAAGAAGAGTGATCATGAAGAACTTAAGCTTTATCTGCAATGCTTTCATTTTTGGAGCAGGGGTGGGCAAACTTTTTCCATAAAGGGCCAGAGAGTAAACATTTTAGGCTTTGCAGGTCATAAGGTTTCTGTTGCAACTGCTCAACTCTGCCTTTGGAGTTTGAAAGCAGCATAAACATGCATGCAGCAGAGTTACTGTAATGGACTGCAATTTTTGTTTTTGCATGTTATGGGATTGTCTCTTGATTTTCTACCCATGGGTCAAATGTGAGAGAGAAAACAAGTATGCATGGATATAAATGTGTAAAATCAAAGTGGTCTTGTGTCTTGAAGTACACACCAAAACTATGTGATGAATTTTGGCCTAAATGAAGTTTAATAAAGAAGTCTCAGACCGGAAATCAATATACATGGGCTCTTATTCTACATCTACTCCCAACAAACTTAAATTTGGGGGGGCCCTCAGTGTTTTCCTGTGTAAAGTGTGTCAAAGCATTCTGAATCCCTCATCCCTAGCCTCCAGAGAACAGCCATCACAGTCACACAGCTATTTTTATAGATGCTGGAGCTTCTCTCACTAATATATTACTTAATGCCTTAGTGAAGGGAGTAATCGCTGGGCTTTCTCTAACATTACAGTGGAGGAAGCAGGGCAGTGTAAGACTGCATATGATTAATCCACTCCAAAGCTCCCACCTCCCTAAAACTCTGAATTTCTTCCTTAACATTAGGCCTGGAAATTCTGGCATCTCAACCTCAATGAATGTAGACAACCACTGAGTCCAAGTTTCATTCAATCAACCAATCAAACTGTTACAGCCACTTCCGGTTGCTTGAACCAATGCATTAAATCCAGACTCTCTGTGAATTCATATCAATAAACTTAGCCTATCCCTGACTTCAGACTATACTACAAAGCTACAGTAATCAAGACAGTATGGTACTGGCATAAAAACAGAAAGATAGATCAATGGAACAGGATAGAAAGCCCAGAGATAAACCCACGCACATATGCTCAACTTATCTTTGATAAAGGAGGCAGGAATGTACAGTGGAGAAAGAACAGCCTCTTCAATAAGTGGTGCTGGGAAAACTGGACAGGTACATGTAAAAGTATGAAATTAGAACACTCCCTAACACCATACACAGAAAAAAACTCAAAATGGTTTAGAGACCTAAATGTAAGGCCAGAAACTATCAAACTCTTAGAGGAAAACATAGGCAGAACACTCTATGACATAAATCACAGCAAGATCCTTTTTGACCCACCTCCTAGAGAAATGGAAATAAAAACAAAAATAAACAAATGGGACCTAATGAAACTTCAAAGCTTTTGCACAGCAAAGGAAACCATAAACAAGACCAAAAGACAACCCTCAGAATGAGAGAAAATATTTGCAAATGAAGCAACTGACAAAGCATTAATCTCCAAGATTCACAAGCAGCTCAATAACAAAAAAACAAACAACACAATCCAAAAATGGGCAGAATACCTAAACAGACATTTCTCCAAAGAAGATATACAGATTGCCAACAAACACATGAAAGAATGCTCAACATCACTAATCATTAGAGAAATGCAAATCAAAACTACAATGAGATATCATCTCACACCAGTTAGAATGGCCATCATCAAAAAATCTAGAAACAATAAATGCTGGAGAGGGTGTGGAGAAAAGGGAACACTCTTGCACTGTTGGTGGGAATGTAAATTGATACAGCCACTGTGGAGAACAGTACGGAGGTTCCTTAAAAAACTACAAATAGAACTACCATATGACCCGGCAATCCCACTACTGGGCATATACCCTGAGAAAACCATAATTCAAAAAGAGTCATGTACCAAAATGTTCATTGCAGCTCTATTTACAATAGCCCGGAGATGGAAACAACTTAAGGGTCCATCATCAGATGAATGGATAAAGAAGATGTGGCACATATATACAATGGAATATTACTCAGCCATAAAAGAAAACGAAATTGAGCTATTTGTAATGAGGTGGATAGACCTAGAGTTTGTCATACAGAGTGCGGTAAGTCAGAAAGAGAAAGACAAATACCGTATGCTAACACATATATATGGAATTTAAGGGAAAAAAAATGTCATGAAGAACCTAGGGGTGAGATAGGAATAAAGACACAGACCTACTAGAGAATGGACGTGAGGATATGGGGAGCGGGAAGGGTAAGCTGTGACAAAGCGAGAGAGAGGCATGGACATATATATACTACCAAACGTAAGGTAGATAGCTAGTGGGAAGCAGCCGCATAGCACAGGT